TATGGCTTTACGCATTAGATTTTCGCCCTTTTTATAATTTAGTCATAATAGTGACCATCAAATGACCTCCGGTGATAGGCTTGAAGGAGATTATCTCAGCAGTCTGAGAATCTGGGTGAAGGCGGTGCAAATTTTGGTTACTGTTTCGGGATTCGTTAGTAAAAAGCATAGCCGAGAAGGATGACCTCAAATTAGAATTTACCTGAATTTTTTTTTTTTTTTTTTGGTAATATAGAGCCTTAATTACGGGGTAAATAACGTAATTTTAAATACTTCAAATGTAAATTGCATAATATATGTCTAGAATACCAAGGCAGGTTGTACGGTGAGATCTCATGCTAGTGGTGTTACTGGGATGCTTCAATACCCTAGGGCCGAGCTCTGCCGGGTTGTTTTTGTCTCTTAACTATATGCTTCTGGTCTTTTTTTTTTTGAACATTCCGACCTGTATCAGCACAAATAACGTGGCACAAAATGGTGTAGCGGCGTTTTAGAGTGAAACTTTGTGGCGTTTAACATATATTGGTATTTTTTGCACTTCCTGATACAGCGATATTTTCAGGAATTAGATTTGGTATCGATGGAGCGTTTGCGTTGCTCAGTGGAGCATCTTGATTTATCGAAAATTGAAATGCTTCAGGTATCCTTTCACAAGCATTACTTGCGGCAGCTGTAATTCATAAGCTAGTTCTCCTACTATGACAGTGTAGATAATTTTTCCAGTTGCTCTGGCTACTGCTGCATCGTCTGATGACCAGTTTGCTTGTGCAGTTGCTTTTGGATGAGGGGTAATGGAATCAGATCGAAAGAGGAAATAAAGAGTTCGAGCAGAAGGAGGTGTTGAGGCAGCTAGATGAACAAAAAACGGAGAGGTCATCCCCTGAACGAATTTTCAGCTCATCGATTCACCTAACCCTAGCAGTTGCATATTTTCAGTCGTTTTGAAGTGCCCTTGATATGTGACGACCATTACCACCTCGTCTCCTAAATATTTTACTGACGAGCAGTTTAAAGCATTAGAACGGTGAAAGGGGGATGCCAGCAAACGGGGCCGAGCTATCGGCTCGGATTCAGAGGCGCAAAAACCAGTCTTTCATTGTTTTATTTACTCATTTGGATGGTAAATTGACACTGATGCTTGTCAGAGGGCGAGAATTTTTTAACTCGTTTCTTAAGCAATCCTCAGATGGAGGCGGGAGGGGAATTGGAGAGGGGCGGCGAGGTGGGGGGTGGGAAGAGGGAAGAGGAGTACTATTGATTGCCTACCAGTTCGGTTGCTGATTCCATTATTATCATTCTGACAATTCCCGAATGCTTTAGCTGATTAAGACTGGTATGCAAAGAAATGTGAGAATGAGCAGAGGTGAAGGAAATGAGTGTAAAGATGGGTTTTGAGCAGATTAAGGTTTTTTGGTAAAGATTTACAGAATGTGGATAATGTAGCAGCAGTGTGCAAGCATTTCTGTGGCG